CTGTGACTGCGAATTTTAATTAAAATAAGTGAAAAGTGGAGCTGACAAATATGATTCTTCATTTTCTAATAGACACGCAAGACGGATGATTTTTTTTAATAAGCATAATTCCCGAAAATTCTGTTTATTACAGACTTCTCTGTTGCAAAATGCCAAGCAGTAAGTAAAAAAAATATTCTGCCAAAGCGATATCTGTTGCCGGAAGTGCTTTCCAAAAAAAAATTATTCCAAGAAATGCCAGATTGTATGGATACTCGGAGTGACATATTAAGTTGAAAAACGAAAGAAAAGTGGATATCAATCGCTGACATTCGCCGGTTGCCGAAAGGATGACAAACATGTCCTATCCGTCAGATTTTACTTCCAGGACTCTGAAGAGTTGCCGCACATACATCAAACAAGCGATAGGTACTAAATGTAAATTTGGAACATTGTATTATCTGACATAGCTACGCCCGGCATATAGTAGCATTCCAGTAACACCACCGATGTGGAATTCCACTGTCGACTACTCAGTTCGTTTTGACAATCTTAGTAATAAGGTAAGGAAATGTCGAGATGCTGTAGTAATGAATGAATGCATTTTTAATAACTGAAGTAATATCTGAACGCATTTTTTAGAACTTCCGGAAATGTGAATGAATTAAAAAGACAGCATTGTAACAAATGAGGAGGAGGTTCGGCGTATTTGGAAGACCAAATTAAGTTTGCCAATACGCTTCTAAAATTCCAACTCTCTACCTTTTCTGGCCCCTGAGCTAATAAATCCCCTGGCTAACGTTTCACGTGTGAAAACTAGGCATGCTGAAAACGAATTCAAGTTTACGAGGAATCAAAAACATCCGGAAGAGGTGAAAAAAAGCTAGCATTTAAAATTGGAGACTGTTAAATTTGTCCTGAATGCCGCAAAAATCAGCTGAGAAAGAAGGGAAATAAAATTTGTCAAGTCCAAGTGAATAATGGGGAAAAAAAGAACGATGATGAGGTGATTTTTGATGTTGAAAGGTGCAAAATATGGTATGCGTTTTGCTCTGTTAAAAACTACGAGTGCCATTCAAATGAAATTTCGCCAAAAACATAATCATCACCACAGGTGGGGAAAATTACCCAGCGAAGCGCGGGATGCGCATGAAAATTTTGAAGGATGAAACATCGTCTATGGAATGTAAAGTTGCTCACATGAAAAAGATCTTTCTTCATCTCTTATCAATCAGCAAGTTACACACATCAAAGCTATGAAAAGGAGTCGGCTGGGGAAGGCCGAGGAGGGGGTCCAGCGTCGATTGCTATCGGCGTATAGTACTATCTGGACATTATCGGAGAAGAAGTTCTACCCCAGGTGCCCTTAATAAGTGAAACAATGGAGGGGCACAGACTTCGCAAGTTCCACACGAAAACAAAAGAGTATTCGGAAAAGTGAATTTAAATTCACTGTTGGTGTATGTAGACAAGTGGAAAAGCGCTATGCGCTTAGTGCATGGAGTCTTCTGAAGAAAGCTACACCATCTGTGTGGATGCAAAACGACCGTGCTATGGTGGCGGACTTATTCTTTGGATTCGATTATCGGGGACTATAGTTAAAGAATTGCATTCAAAGTTTTTTTTTTTTCCTTCTTTTTTAATGGCGGTTACTAAGGTGACCAAGAGAGTCAGTGTGGGTATCCCATGTTAGTGATGTTACTGCCATGCACCCATAAGCTGCAAGCCGCTATAGCATCCATCATCTTCTCGATATACTTGTGCTATTTCTTTGCAAACCGCGGAGTGGTCGTTTACTTCGCCAGTGTCACTCTCGCTGATACGAGACATTCCTGGGTAACAACTTAGTAAAAAATGCATATTTGTGAATTCGGTGGCATTTCAAAGGTAATGACTCGGAGTTTCTTAGAACAACTAACCCAAAATGCTACCGATGTGTCGGTTTTGTAAGTTTTTGCTAATATTTGACATTATTTGGGTCTCTTTTTTGAGCTAACCGGGGGTTATTGGATATTTCGCAAATGTTTTTTTTAGCATTTTGCTCCCTCGAAAAAGGAAAAAACGATCTGAACGAATTCGAATTTCTCCAAAACGAGGTGATCGGATGCGTCGTTGCATAAAGTGTAAAAATGTGTTTGAGCAACACATTGCTAGCAAAATTTTGGAGAAAAATTGTTAACAGATGTGAAATGGGAGGGCAGGGCATCGGCAAACATGGCAACCAGCAGGGCGCGCGCGTAACAATGATTTTTACGAACGGTGTTTTGTGAAAAAAGTGGAAAAAAAGGGTGAGGGAGAGGAAAAGAGGATAGACCTTGAATATATATGTATGTGTGTATGTGCGTGTGTGTGTGTGT